AAAATTAAGTACGCTTGGCGTGTTTGTGGATGCACAGGTTGCTGATACCTTCCTTCCAACCTGTTACTGTGTGGAGTCAGCCAATAAAAATGTTAAGAGGCTTCAAGCTAAATAAATGAAAATTAAATTCAAGTCACCGCATTCCTGATTATGTGACTCATTCGCAAAAATCCAATACTCTTAAGCCTGTGCTACAGATACATATTGTGAACAGAAGCACATATCTCAATAACTAGATTTACACTTATCTTTAAGCTATAATATAGTTAAACAATCAATTCCTGGTTCTTTATAAAGTGGGAGAAAGAAAAGACACATAAGACAATGTAAAGTGGTTGCAGGACCAGAGACCAGATCACAGCCATATCCTAAAACAGGAACCCGTCACCATCCCAGTAGCAGACATCCAACAGCAAATCAAGAACAAGAAGAGCTGGATAGCACCTGGCCTAGGACATGATCCACATCTGCTGGCTACAGAAATTAACAGCAATGCATGATGTCAACTCTACAACGAACCTGGCTGCAGCCATTTTTGTCATTTTAGGTTGCCACAAGAAGGGGAGGGGGAAAGGGTATTTCTGGTAGTCTAAACATGAGTAAATCTTGTGAGAACCGAGGTCATTCCCATACCGAGGGAGAGAAGGAGGATCGTTTAGTCAGAAAGCCCGCCAAGCTGTTCTATTGGATAGTGTTAGTAGAGGGGTAGGGATCATTACATTGTATTACTTTGATTCTTGGAGAGAAAGTTTAGATCCAGTTTCACTTTTGACTATGCTGATATTATGTATCCAATAAACATGTTCTTTGAGGAATTTTCCTGCCTCGGAGTTCTGATTTATTTGGTCTCATTGATCGGAACCTTGACACATGAACTCCTAGCAGCACAAATGAACCAGCTGCTAGTAGCAGGCTCTCACCCAGGCTGGCCAATACAAAAAAGGACCGTGCTGATCATGAAGACCCCTACAAGGGAACAGCATCACCTTCCTTCCCCATAACATGGAAAGTCCTATGAGGTATCATAGCTGCCAAGCTATAGGACCATGTGGGTTAGTACATGAGCAGACTGAGGAAAACATATACCATATGTTTAAAAATGGTATATATTGACTATATAGTAATATAGTTAATATAGTTCATGGAGAGAACCTATCTACTATATGTGGTCACTAGGAGTCAAAAATTAGTTGATAGAACATAATCAATCCATCAGTCAATAGTTCCTGGAGTCCCTGAGCTCTGACACTCAAGCTCTGATCATCTCTTACCTAGACTATTGCAACACAAGGATCTATCCTTGAAGAATATTTGGAAGCTACAGCTGGCACCAAAGGCAGCCAGACAGTTGTTCTTAGGGGCCGCAAGGGTGGCCCATGTTACACTGCTGTTCTGCAAGCCACACTGGTTGCCCATTTGCTTCCAGATCCAATTCAAGGAGTTGGTTTTTATCTTTAAAGTTCTTCATGTTGTGGGTCCAGCTTATCTGAGGAACTGTCTCACCCTAATGAGACAGAAAGGGAATGTTGTGACACCATTGGAGGAAATCCAGCTGGCATCATCCAGGCAAAGAGCTTTCTCTTCTGTGGCTCCCACCCTCTGCGCCCCCCCCCCAAGTGAGATTCACTCCCCATTTTAGCCTCCCAAAAGGGCATGAAAACCTGGCTCTGTCAATTGGCCTGGGGCCCTGATGGATGTTTGTGTGTGTATCATTCTGGAAGTGGTTAATGGACTAACCCATTTCCTCCCTATGTGCATCTTGCTCCCTCTTTGCTACAGTATCTTGGTTAATTTTTAAGTCAGTTTCAGTGTTAATATTTATTATTTTAATGTTTTAATTATTTTTCTTGTTTTTATTGATTATAAGCTGCCTAGAGTTGCCTTTAGGTGAGATGAGCAGCATATAACTTTAATAAATAAATAAATAAATACAAATGTGGTTTTGACAAAGTCAGATGTGTGAACACATTTCTAAACCATTGAAACAGCCATTATAGTTAAAGTATTACATTGAATCATGGTTTGTAAAAATGTGTGAATTCAGTTTATCCTCTAGGACAGGCTTAGATTCTTACTATTCTGATCTTCTGAGGTGACCAGTCAATGTATTTTTTTTCTTCCCTATGTTGTGTACCAGCTGTTGTGATTCTTCTTCCTATTGGAAAGGCATTGAGTAGTCTTTAGTATTACAGATAATGGTTAAAGGCTCCATAATCTTATTGTCTGTATTCAATAGTGATAGAAATTATTCTTATTTGAATAATCAAATAAGTAGACATCAAGTCTCTATTTTGGGAGTGCTGTGGATAAAAAGTCAACTAAAATAGTTATTTATAGATCTACTTATAAATAAATGTCACCTAAACAAAACTATTCATGCTGTGTTGTAACTTGCACCTACATTATCAGGATAGTAAATACATCTAGTATCTTTGTGTTAATAAAACAGTGCCCAGAAAATTTTAAACTTACATGTAATAAAAACTTTTTTTTTTTCTTCTGCCATATTTCTTCATTGGTCTCCTTCCCATTCTCCCTCTTTCCAACACCTCCCTTCTTTGTTGTGGCCAGATTTATCCCTTGCAGGCAGAGAATCTGGAAATATCTTTGATCAAATGACACAAGAACGGACTCCATAAATGCAAAATGAGTACTTCTGTAGAAAGTCACAGCACAGAGCAACCTTGGTGGTACGATACTTTTACATTTATTTAGAATTTATATTTATATTTACTTTTCTTGTATAATACACTTTAGCATTCTTTTTTCTTGGGTCCTATTTGTATCTTTTATTTGTGATTTTTTTTTCTCTTTTAAAAAAGAAGATAACTACTTACTCAAATGTACTTTTTTCAAATATTTTTTTCCAGAAAAATATTGTTTGAATTAAACAGCAAGGAACATATAGTCACCTAGTATTAGAAGAGCCATGGTGGTGCAGTGGTTAAAGGCTGGCTAACTCACTGCTCACTCCAGAAGTTTGATTCTGAACGGTTCAAGGTTGACTCAGCCTTCCATCCTTCTGAGGTCTGTAAAATGAGGACCCAGGTTGTTGGGGGCAATAGGCTAACATTGTAAACTGCTTAGAGAGGGTTGCAAAGCATTGTGAAGCGGTATATAAGTCTACTATTGCTATTGCTATTAAATCAAAGTTATCTTACAGTAAAGTCAGTGAACATGGCAAAAGTTTGGGTTTTTTTTAGACAAGAGGTTGGCTCCTGAGAACTTTGAGCAAAAGGAAGTTTGCAAAAGATAAGATCACCATTTCCTCTTCTCCTTTATGATATACTAGCTTCCCTGAAAGGTGGGATTCTTGAACAGCATGAAATGAGATGACCCTCTCCTTATGTCTGAAGTAGGACAACTTCCCTTTCCAACAAAGATCCACTCACATGCATCATCCCCTCCAGACCAGGAAAACAGATGTTAGAAACAAAGATAAGGCCGAGAAATGACTGACCCCAATCACCCATTTGGGTGCATTTGTATTGGAGGGTGGATTTGAACCACGTCTCCCCATTCCTATTTCAAAACCTTAGTTAGGATACCCCATGGAGCTTCTGATGGAAAATGCCATTCTGCTAGCTTCTTTCTGTTCCTGTTTCTCAGGGTCCATCCCACAGCTTTCAATTGGCCAACTTTTTTCCTCATTAAAAAATCAAATGACTAAATTCTGAATGGCATAATGTTTTCCAGGGGTTTCCTTAATTATGTGGGGATATATATATATATATATATATATATATATATATATATATATATATATATATGTATTAAATATGTAGGATTTCTGAATAATCCTTAAAAAATGCAAAGATCTCACTGATACATCTTCTGAAAAGACAACAGATCTATTGCCTAACTGATCCAATTCATGAATTTAAGGAAGAGCTTAGACATGCTGTGAGCTTTATCTTCTAGCATTCCACGTTATGCTATCAGTTCCAGCCATCACATCATCCTCACAGTCATATAACTGTGATCTGAACATTTGTTGCGTGACTTGCAATTACAATGTTAGAGCAAGCCACAGTCATGTGATCATAATTTCCAATGTTCCCCTGCTGGCTTCCCACAAACAAAGTTAATGGGGAAGCTGGCAGGAAGTTGGAACTCACAATGACATGATGTCCTTGGTTAATGATCTGCACGGTCATCACTTAATAATCGCCACCAGGACTGGCAGAACTGCTATTGCTAGGTGGCACAGTCACAACTTTGCAGACCATATTGCTTGGCGATGGCAATTCCATCTTATGTTGTTAAACAAGGACTATCTTTATTGTACACTTACTGTAGAGCTGTCAACATATTTTTTAAAAGTCTCCCTTGTACTATTCTTTTTGATCTCATTTATAATAAAAAGATGAAATCTGTGGAATGCAGCTAAAACAGCTCCAGGTTCATTCCCTGAAAATATTTAGCCAATATACATGCAGTAGAATCAGTAGCAAATGGAAGACTTCTAGAATAACATTCAATTTCAACTTGCAGATTTTGATGGATGCTTAGATAGTCTCTAAATATTGTCCAAATATTTAATAACTGCATTAAAATTTGAGTAATACCTCACTTCATTAATTTGTAAAATTGTAATATGTTGGAGCTTCAAGGAACTCCAAAGTTCATCTATATACATCATTGGTGAAAGGAGATACATCTAGAGCCTCTCTGCTTAAATATTTTCATAGATAATTGAGGTAATTCAATATTCAGCATCTCCAGAGATAATTTATTCCCCTGTCATAACATTAGGAAGTTTTTCTCGATGCTTAGCCAAAAATGGCATTCCCACCCATTCTTAGTAGTTCTGACTTTTTGAAGCTCAGAATATAAATCTGCTCCATCTTCTCTGTGATAGTTGTTCAAATCTGACAGTTTTCTTTGCTATCTACTCTTACTTTTCTTTTTGTCCAGACCAAATCTTGACTCTTTTATGACTCATGGACTTCAACTCCCAGAATTTCTAAGCCAGCATAGCTGGCTCAGGAATTCTGGGAGTTGAAGTCCATGAGTCATTAAAGAGCCATATTTGCCTACCCCTGACCCAGGCTAAACATTTGATACTTTCTGCTGCAATAGTCAATGACTGACATTCAATGTGTTTAATATCAGAAAGTACTGGTCACTGGTCTCTTGCAGGAATATTATCACATTAAAAAAAAACAACCCTCTGTTTTCTGCAAGTGGAAGAGATTTGGGGTCATGATGTACAATGTATCAGCTACTGACAAGGGCAGTGATGGGTGTCATTGTTATCTAGTCAAAAGTGTGCCTTAAAACTGCCTTCCAACATTCCCCTTCTGGTTAGATTTTGCAAGAGGAACCTGGTAATGATGGATTAGCTGGTGTTCTTCTACAAAGCACTGTCTGCATTCTCTATAAAGTTTGCTGTGTTAGATTTGTCAACAGTTAATGAGTGATACACAAAGTTATGCTGACAGTCTTGAAGGGTGGACATTTCACAGTCGAATGTTGGTGAAAAAATGAATGATGCCACTAGAAAAAAAATGGAATATCTGTAAAAATCAACTTCAGTTTCAGGAATTATTGCTTCCTCCTCAAATGTAGTTCCTGGTATCATTCTGGGCTCCCCTAATTTTTCTCCATGACTAGTCATTACATAACTGCAAGTTCAGGTAATGATTGGGTGTTTAAAGAATTGAATTGCTTGTTGTGGATTGAATGGTCAGTCCAAGAAGTAATAATGTTTTTCTGGCTTAGAAGACTCCACCATATTCATTTGACTTATACTCTACTGCCTTTACAATAGGAGACAATATTTTCTTCTTATTCCTGTTACTGTATTTGTAAGTGTAATCTGTTGCTCAGTTTGTAGGTTTCATTAATCTGTGGAATCCATCAGCATTGTAGTCAAACCTTGTATGTTTTGCATGGGAACTATTACTTGGCTCAAATATAGAAAATATATTGTTATTCAAATATTACTAATTTGTCTGCCTGACAGGAGTAGAACTTCAAAGTTCTTGAAGGGTCCAAATTATTTATCCTGAATCATACTATAGCCAGCTTTCTATTACCTTACATATCAATTAACAAATACCCTACACATACACATACACTCATTTTTACACATACAGTATATTTATGCCCAGACTTAACATGCACCCATATTACTTTGCCCCATTTTCTTAAGTAGACACCAAAGCCATTTCTAACCAAACATTTTAGTATAGTCTGTAGACAGCTGAATCTTTCTAGATCATGCTGTGGATGGCTGGGTAAAACTCCTTTGACTGGAGCTTTTGAGACTCAGAACAAAAGTGGATGAATTGCTTTTTTTGCTGACGCTCAGGTCACATCCTTGCCGAGCTTTTAAGTACCGTGAAGAACAACAAAGGAATCGGTGCAAAAGATCGTGGAAAAGATGACCTGTGAAAAGCATGTAGATCCAGGGATTGCAACAGCTGTTCAGACTTGCTAGGAGTGTGGTGATTATGAATGTCCAATCTACAAGAGAAAAATGTATTAGAAAGAGTTAAATATTACTGTAAAGGTTTAGGATCAACAGGGTTGTCAAAAAAAGAGAAATAGTCCGACAATCGGTGATCAAGTGAGACATTCTAACTATGCCTGCTTGGGTGATGCCACAATACCATGTGTCTTACAATACTTTGTTGAAATAGAGATATAAGGTTAGACATTTTATCAGGGTTTTTACTGGATGAATACATGCCACAATTGATATACAGATTGGTATCTTTGCTAGACAGTGGTAGAAAAATTTAATAACTTTAAGTCGGAAAATTTTACTATTCAAAATAATAATGATTTTTTTTTCCACAAATGAGGCTGCTATGAAAACTTTTTGGCTCAAGCACCAAGTATCTTGGGCTCATGGCAGTACAAAGTGAAGAAAATTACTGTGGTTTTGGAGAGCTCAGATAATTTAAAGAATTAAAAAAAGGATCTGTTCAAAGACTGACCACTATGTTACTCTTCTCTCCATTTTATTACATCTTCTAAATTTGTCAGTTTTATATATACAGTGTTCCTGATGCTCAGAGTAAATTAGGAAATGTGCTTGTCACTTTCTGGCATGGATTTCTAGATGTTCTACTCATCAGAATCGCTTTTTTTTACTTTAACATTTATAATATATAAACAACTTCCAATTAAATCTACATTATCCAGAATTGGGTCAGTTAGATATAAATCTATACTTTAAGGATGGGAATCACCAGCATCCCTTACCATGAGATCATAGGAGTTGTCATCCCAGCACTGCTGAGAAAGTTTGTTGTAGAGCCTAAAATTAAAACCTGGGTTTTAATAAATTTACTCCAAGCTATTACAAATACCTTTCATATTAGTACCTAAAAATATGTAGGGAATCAGAATGGCTACATTGTACTGCAAAGGTTTTTATAGTATCAGGGGTTTAGGAATAAATGTGAAACATTGTCAAAAAGCAGGATAAATGCTTGCCATTATTTCATGTTTAAGGAAAAAAGACTTCTTGGAATCATTGTTATCTGTACTGCAGATGAAAAAACTGAAGAGAGAAAATATTTTTCCACACATTAACTGCTCTTTAAATTCATCAGCCACTTTTGCCAATTCAACAATGAATAGTGTTTTCATGAAGTCTTATTTTCCAGTTCATCAATATTCAAAAAGCTTAATCTTCAAAACTTGTGTTAGTACAAAGTGTTTCTATCTTTCAAATGGCTTACAAAAAACTGCACAAGATAGACACCCTCCTTCTATCCAGTTCATGCTTCAGATAATCTATTACAGTGATGGCGAACCTTTTAGAGACCGAGTGCCCAAACTGCAACCCAAAACCCAATTATGCATTGTCAAGTGCCAGGTGGGTGTGGCCCATTGGATGGGTGTGGCCCATTGGATGGGCATGGCTGGGGTGGTAACAGCAGACTGGGTGGGACTAAAAAGTTCAATCAATCAATTCCAACTTTGCAAGATTTTTTTTCCCCGCAAGAAGTTGAAATTGACTAATTGAACTTTTTTTTTTTTTTTTTGCACACGGTGGCAGAGGCCTAAAGCGAAAAGGTTTTATAAAACCCAGCTGAAGGCCTAGGACTGGGGCGATGGCGTGCATGCCCACAGAGAGGGCTCTGAGTGCCGCCTCTGGCACCAGTGCCATAGATTCGCCACCACTGATCTATTAGGTTGAGTATGTCAGCATCTCTTAACTTAGCTTCAGAGTCAATTGGAAGCAAATCTAGCCAATGCATCTCATCCAGATAGACTAGATATGCAAACTGGTACACTAGGGACTTGATCTGATAAGTAGGCCTGTCAGAAATAATCATTATATATTGGTATTATGATAGATAAAGTACATTATTATGATTATTATTACTTTGTTGTTTTATATGTATAATGACAGTTTATGCATCAGAGACAAATTTCTTGTGTTTCTAATCACACTTGGCCAAATAAAGCATTCTATTCTATTCTATTCTATTCTATTCTATTCTATTCTATTCTATTCTATTCTATTCTATTCTATTCTAACCATTCCATTCCATTCCATTCCATTCTACCCTATCCTATCCTACCCTACCCTACCCTACCCTACCCTACTCTACCCTACCCTACCCTACCCTACCCTACCCTACTCTACTCTACTCTACTCTACTCTACTCTACTCTACTCTACTCTACTCCCTCCAAATATTATTTTCAGGTCCCAGCACCTTAAGAATATGCCACTGAAAGTGGCAATAGAATGGCCTATTTGGGGTGGGGATTGAGTTATAAGAGTGGGAGTTAAAAGTGGTTTGGTCCTACTACTTTTATTTTTACTCTTAAATCTTTCTCTCAAAGATCAAGTAAAAATTCAATGATAGCTCTTCTGGTATAACCAAATAGTTTTTCTTGGTTCTTCAAAAGGTTAGAAAGTTGAGTTGCAGCATTTGATCCTCAACATTGCCCAGCTTTTTGTAACATCTGATTATCTTTATATAGTCACACCTCACAATCCTCTTCTCCTTAAGAATATCAGCCAAAGGAGTGTGCTAAACTAATTTAGAACTTCCTCTATGTGTAAAAAAAAGGCTCACTGCAAACAGTGTTTTAATTATTGCCGTGTAACTAGCAAAATGCCTATCCCATTAAATTGGCTATTTGTCCAGACACCAAGTATTGATAAACAACTTCAAAGTTCATGCTCTGTCTTCTCATGTTTTTTTAAAAAATAGAATAAAGGTTATATGCCTTTATTATAAGGAACTAAGGAGAAATTTCCTGACAGAACAATTAACCAGTGGAACAGCTTGTCTTCAGAAGCTGTGGGTGCTCCATCTCTGGAGGTTTTCAAGAAGAAATTGGACAGCCATTTGTTCAGAATGGTATAGGATCTCTTGCCTGAACAGGGAGTTGGACTAGAAGACCTCCAAGGTCCCTTCCTTATTCTGTCTTAATGTTGCCAGGATTGAGAAGCATTTCTCTCAGGCATTCTAATCCCTGTTCAGCAAACTAAACAAATCTGTACGTGATTATGTTCTGGAATTCAGTCAATAGATACAGTGAGAAGCAACTAATAATATTACTATGATCGATGAGGAAGGGAATCTAATATTCATTGTCCTATAACCCCCTAGAAATAGATACATGCAACTTGTGGCTTTTCCTAGAACTGGCAATAATAAACTTGTTCAATATAAATGAGTTATGTAACTTAGAAAAATAGCACAATATCCTGACAAATACGGTGTTATTGGGCTGACACAGATTCATATCCTGCTACCTCTGTTTATTTAGAAAGATTGTATAGCAAAAGTAGCAAGTCGTACTTACTGTTGCTAAATTGTTTGCCTTTTTAACAACAACAACAAAATGGTTGCAAGCAAGTCTTTACATAATCAGGATTTCAATAAGAAATTATAATCATGCTAGGAATACAGACCAATTTATTTCCAGCATGAACCAATGAAAAAAGAAACCTCAAAAATCTCTCATTCATCATGGGAATACTTCTCCTTAACACGCTACAAAATATTTCATTTTTCTCATTAGCTTTTCTTGAGACTGAATCATTAAAGTGACCTTTGCATAAGCTAATCACAGAATACGAAATTCCTTTGAAATCTACTCCTTGCTGTGAAACATGGCATTATTAGTTTAAAAAAGGGAGGAAAAACAAAACAAAAAATAATGTAACTGATTACTGTTTAGTATTAGCATCGATTCATGATCACCCATTGAAATCCTCATGTTCAAACAATCTATTTAGGCTCCTGGGTAACGTATCTAGATTCCACTTCTGAATGCTAATTGGAACTTTTTAGGTATGTTTTCAGTATTTTGAACTTGTGAAAAATAAGAGGACAAGTCTATTTCTCAGCCATTCCACTGGGCTTTGCATAGAAGTGGTTTAGCATAATTACATCACATAAATTACACTCTTCATTGTTTAGGCTGCAGCAAATTAACCCAGTATCTCCTCTGGAAGTTAGCACAAAGTAATTATTTGAAGTCAGCTTTTCAAGATCTGTTCCTCTCCAGACCCTCTAGGTTACAGAATTCATAAAAAGAACAGCTGGCAATAAATATGGGAGTGGTCTCAATACATTTGGAAAGTCGCAACTGGAAAGACTGCTCAAAATGTTTATGTGTTCAACCCTTGCATGAGACTCATCCAACAGAGCTCAAGTGTAGACAGACTGAAGAAAAATCTATTGCTATGGACTTTATTGTTTGGCTGGGTATCACCCCAATATGTGTTTTCTGCCTGAGCAGCAGGTTAGACTAGAAGACCTCCAATGTCCCTTCCAACTCTGTTATTCTATTCTATATAGTTCCTCAGGAATCAAAGTGAACTGGGATTAGGCACACTCAATGGGCTGGGATTTTTTTAAGATACCCCCCCCCAAAATTTAGCCATTTATTAATACAATTTATATGGAAAATGACCAAGAAGTCTACAGCTGAAGGGGTTAAAGAAATTCTACAGGAAAAAAATATTAATTCATATTTGCTCTAGGGAGCAGGGAGTTCAAAAAGACAATCTCTACTTAATTTCAAATCCTACCTGGATTTTTTTAATGAATATATACTTATACAATCCTGTTCTTGTTACTCTAGTACAGGGGTGGGCAACCATAGCTGACTCAGGAATTCTGGGAGTTGAAGTCCATGAGTCATAAAAGAGCCAAGGTTGCCTACCCCTGCTCTAGCAGAAATGTATTTCCAGGTTTCTAAAAAAGAACAATTTAAGCTTATGATAAAAAAAAACTGAATTAACCATTGTGGATGACAAAAAAGGGATTTGAAGATAAGAAGACTTATTTAATAGATATCTTCCAGTGATGCTAAACCTTTATTGTGCTTTATTTCGATGAATGTACAAAGCTAAAAAGTAGGCAGTGCTGGCCCTAATATTAGGCAGAGTAAGGTAGCTATCTAAGGCAACAGATCCTAAGAGGCAAATAAGAAGATCAATGTACTGTGTGTTCTTTAAATTATTCAGCTCTTGTTAAGTGC